AGCTTTCATGTTTTTATGTTACTTCATTAAATTTTACATTTCGTCTTTACATTCTTTTTAACAGCACTTCACTCTCAACTGTTATACAAAACATTTTACCACAAATATTTCAATTGTCACTGACACACTTTTATTTTGTTTATATTTTTTGCTGGTAACACGTGTTTGTTTATATTTTCAATTAAAAAACAAAAACAAAGGGAGTAATTTTATTTTGCGGTTAAAGATAAAATGCTTGGCAAAAGGTCAAGAGGATGAGAAAAATTGATTTGTTTGATTCAATGACTATTGAAATCAAAATTTAAATGAATTTAGCTTCTTATGAATTTTAATTATTAATTTTTTCAATTATTTTATAACAGTTTTCTAGGAACTGAATTTGGTTGATTTTGTTTGTAATTAAGAGGCGTGAAGCCTTATCATTCGTACGTTCATTTGTACTTTACATATGAAAAATTTTTGTGTTGACGGATAATATTTGAAACTCTTTAACTGCATAAAATTTTTATTGTTAAAATAGTAAAAATAATTAATATAAATTTTTTTTTTAATTTTTATATATTTTAATTATATTATTTTAAAAAATTATATTATTTCGTAATATTTTCTATCATTATTGCTTTGGTAGCAAAATGTTTTTGCCTAAGCGATATAAATAGCATTTCTTTATACCAGTTTATTCCTAACAGAAGCCTAATTAACATTGAGGCAGAGGCAGAATATAACAGAACAGTTACAGTAGTTACCTCATTTATTTTATTACATATGTAAGATAAACATACTTGCCAATATTGAGAATGTAGTATAAAATGAAAAGTTCAAATAATTTTTAATAATTACTAGACACTGTCTAATGGTGTTTATATTATAGTTAAATTAATTTATGCTACAGATATGATATTATTTTATTTAAGTTGGTTTTTTTAGTTTAATATCTATATGTGCTTTTTTAGTACAGTAATGTAGTGTACATAGTGTAGTGTATTTTAAACGTAGATAAACGTTTTGTTTTATGACTTCTCATGTCTATTTTTTTTGTATTTTTGGTGCTGTCCACTAAGTATTGTATGCATGAGGGAGTGAAGTGAAAGAGTTCACTTTACTGAATGAGTATTCATTTTAAATCAACTTCAAATTCATAATTGATATGAATTTATGTACCAACTGAATGCAGAGTGTCATTTTCAATGTATATAAATAGAGTTGGTGATCGATTTACTTACTAAGTTGGCCGCATCGAGTAGCCTCCACCACCCAGTCGGAACGGTGTTTGCTGTCGCCAGTTAGTAGTACCGAGTATCTCCAAATCATTAATCACCTGGTCCTTCCACCGAAGTTACTCATCTTTTATTTCGTTTTTCAACTGAGGGTAGAGAATCAAAACCTTTCTAGCCGGAGCACTTTTTTCTATTAGCACGACATGACCAAGCCAGCGAAGTTTGGAGAATGAATCGAAAATTGCCTACGTAGTGTGACAACATTTTTCATTCCATATGGCAGATTTGAATATACTTTGGATTCAATACTTAATAGGAAAATATAGCATATATATAATTAAAATTTATTATTATTAAAAATATAACCATATTTTTTAGTTAATTTAATCGATGTGTTTGCTAAAATGCTATATGATTCCAGTAGGATCCTTACTTGATCAATGATATGGGACAATCTTCGACTGTTATAAACATAGTGTTATAATTTTTTAAAATGTTTTACACATCAACAGCGTAGATTTACAATGGCCTCCTCCTCTTCTCACCACCGCAGCTACTACAACACTAACGAGAGCATTAACTTATTATTCTCCAACTGATAATAACTTAGTATTATCGTTACATCCTATTCTTTCTCACCGCCATAGCATAGCTATTGAATGTAACACCTATTGCTAAGGCAATATATTAGACTTTCTTTAATGGTGCCTAAAAGGATTGAGTTTTCATTTCTTACTAAATAAAGAAAAAAACTTCTGTGATTTTTTTATACCCCATTTTAGCCATATGAGCTTTCCGTGTCAAGGGACCTTGATTCCATTCTTCATATATTTCATTTAAAAAGATTTCAAAGATTATGCACTTTCAGATCTCTGAAGGATTACTAATCTATTATTTTTTGGAAGAATTTGAATATATAGTTTTTTTTCTAATTAATCTGAAGTGTAATGCAGTTTTTATCTATATCGCTATGATCCGTCTCCTAAATAATATGTTTAACAAATTGCTAACCCATTTGTAGCAATTAAAGACTGTCATAAAATTTTAAGTCATTGTGTTTGATCTAAACATAGCTGCTGTATTGACTGTGGGACTTAATCGATTTATTTAATGATGTTACGGATATTTTTAAATTATCCGTAACATCATTTCATGGATAATATTTTAAATTTTTTGCAAGATTATATCTATAGACTGTATTGTATTATTTTTATTTATGACAATTTTAAAGCCACTTTTAATTTTTTTTTTTTTGATATTTGCCGCTGCTACTTACTCTGCTAGTATTTTTCATATCATTTTTGTCAGTGTTGCAAAGTATGTATAAATGCATGCAAAGGTATGAATATTAGTAAATTAAATAATATATATAAACTTTTTAGTTTCAATTTCATTTTGTATATATTAAGAATTTCAGGAAATAACATTAGAACATTAGATTTTTCACCTAACCTAATAAATTTAATTCAGTTTGCTTTGCTGTATAAGGAATTATTTCTGAAATGTTTACTAATAGTTTACCAAAGAACTGGAAAAATAGACTAATGCATAAAAGAAGATATAGCTGAAGATACAGAGAATATGTGTCAACAGCGACAACCATAGGATTTTCAAGGACTTTTACACCAATGATATTGTCAGTTCTTGGATATATGCGGTTACTTTTTTTAAAAATGTTATTATATTAAATTATATATCTTTTTGGAAAACTATTTTTTAAACCTATAATTTTTGTTTTAATATTATATCTTTTATTTTTAATCGTTATGTTAATTTAGAACGCAACTAATCACTGACTTTGCTTAAAAGATAATTAATATTTTTTTTTAAAACATTATAAAATTCTTAGAAATAAATTATAGTTAATGTTTGCTATAAAACTTGACTACCTCAACAAACTAATTATTTTTTAATTCTTAAAGCGTATATATTTTACACATATTTTGAAAATAAATAATATTTTTATTGAAGTTATAACAGATGTTTCAGTCACAATACATTTGTTTGTGATTTGAAGCTTGCCTTGTGTTAGAGTGCGAGACGAGATACTTTTTGTATCTCTGTGGTTAATGAACTTCTAGCATCAATAAAACTTTAGATTCATATTATTGGAAAAGATTTTGATGTGCTTCAAAGCACAATAAACTGAATTTCATGTTAAAAATCGAACTTTATACCGAAATTTGACGTCAATATTAAACTCTGTATTTTTCATATTTTCTTTAAATAGTTTTTTGCTAATATACAAATTGTATGCTGATTTGTTAAAAATAAAATATATATAATTAAATATTTTTTAATTTTGTGTTAATTATAGTTTAAGCACGTTAGTTTCATAAAAAGATAAATAGTAGAAAAATACATATATGACATTTCATTTTTTTCTGCACATATTTAAACCAAAAAGTATATTTTATGAGGTTTAAAAGTATATTAATTAAATACAGATGGTTTGAACAGGTTATAGAAAGCCGTCATATTTATAAACAATATTTTTGTGAATAGAACTTCTGGCAGTTGCTATAAAAAAATTGTTTTACTAATTAATTTTTTTGAGAACTTTTTTAATTTTTTTGTTATACCTTTTAAAATTTCTTATAAATATTATACACTTAATGTGATAAGATATATTTTTACTTTATTATTTTATTTTTGATACTTTTTTATTTCTTAAATAAGTGGTTTGATCAGCGTACCTGCAGATATGTATTAATAGGACGTGCTTTTGACAAACGTTACAATAAACATTTTTCCATACATATTTGTTCTCATGTTTATTCCGCGGTTTTAGTGCAGTTAGCTAGCATATTTTATTTTTTTTATATAATATTTTATGATTTTGACTTGTCGGGTACTCTCATTTAACGAAAAGTTTCAGTAAGATACTGGACTATTAAGTTGAACATTTCTATATAAAAACTATTAACCAGAAGTATAATGTTTATAAACCGTTACTTATCGTTTCATGTTTTTCTCTAGAGTTTGTGTTTAAACTAAATATATCATACTCTTGTTGACTCTTAATTGACTAGAGCAAATTTCTTGAATTTCAGACTTCGAAGTTCTCCACATCTACCATTGATGACAAAATAATTGGTATTGTTCATTGAATTTTGTTCTGCATTCTGAAGACAATTTGGAATAGCTTGACGAGTCTAACCCTAATATATTCCGTAAATTTATTCATAGTTGTCGAAGACATCTGTGGCATGATGTTGTCATGATGGAACATACCTTTTTTACTATTAACCAATTTTGATCTGTATTAAGGACATCCAAACTACTATTTTATAGTAGAATCATTGGGCCTATTTTTTAAGATATTAAGAAAATCAGGATGATATCGTCATTGCTCCGGCTCTATGGACGGGACCATGAACATCGATTTATTTTTCAATATGTGAGTAATGTAGTGTATACATATTGTATTGTCAGTAGAATCAACGAATTATTGAAGCAAGTTACGACTACAATCTTCTCAAAAATTAAGCTGAGGCATGGCTTCCTATATACTGTCATCTTATGGAACATTTGTAAAATCATTTATAGGCATCAGTGTATGAAACAAGGCAACTTAATGCTAGTATATATCGATAAAGGAATATTTGCTTGAATTGCATAAGTTGTGTTCATTATCCTTTACTGTGAAGTACTTAAACACTGTCAACACGTTGAAAATTGGAAATTATAAAACATTCTGAAAAATGAAGATAATACAACGACCTATTGAATATTTTTACACTTATAATATTAAACACAAAATTTATTAGTTTATCACTTTAATAAAAAAATAAATAAAAATTTTTACCAAAAATTAAAAAAATCTTTCGAGAACATAATTACAATCTACTGAAGAGGGTTAAAATTTAACCGGCACTAGTTTTCAAAGCAGTAGAACTGAGTTTACGATTCTTAATCTGATAGCGTGCCTTGTAACCATCTTTATCGGCAGTGTACATGGTCATTGTTTCGGTATCAGTCTTTTCATCATACACGGAATAAGTACCCATAACAACGAGTTCTTCTTTATCTGTACCAGGATTCATGATCACACCAATTTCTTCACGTTTGCTGCCATTTGGTTCTTCCAAACTAAATAAATTTTTATAAAACAATATTTTTTTATCAGGAGATCAGGAGTATAAAAACGGAAAATATAATATATATACTTAAAGCGATATCCTTCTTTGGTAGGTTGTTGTTCATAATATTCTGACATGATTTTTGGGAATATGTAATCCAGGAGACCAGCTGAGGTAGACGCGGAAAGTGCAGCCACAACGGCTAGCAGAAGAAACTAAAAAAGGAAGGAAGATTATTAATTCGAATTGCTATAGATAATAATGAGAATTATAATGATAAGTATAACGATAACAATGATAAATATAAATTGGAAATTTATAATTACAAGTTTTAAATACATCGTAAATCAAAAAATATGCTTTTAATGTGTTCAATTAAAAAGACCTAGTTTCTCATCTGGACTAGACCACTAAATGCTAAAGACTAATGATTAGAGGATTGAGATAATTATATTTTTTTCGCCTGTACCTACCATTTTAACAAAAAATAAATAATAATAATAATTAAAAATGAAATGAATAATTTGACTATGACAAGTGCATACTTGGAATTATTTGAATTTAGATTTCAAGAGCCATATGGTCTTTAGTGCTTTAGATATTTTATAGTAGTTTAAATATTTAATATTTTAGATGTAAATGTTAAGTATTTTCTAGAGTAAAATAATGTCACCCATGGGGTGATAATGAGAAGACGGTAGCGTTGTTCGTGGAATTAAACGTCAGCGCAACGGAGGTGTTACAGCAGATGAAGACCGTAAGGACTCCAATGATCGGCACTTGGGTGCCTTCTGCGTCGTAATCACATACGATCGAGTTTTCCGACTAATAAGGAACATCATGTCCAAGTAGCCGGTGTAGATGAAGTTGTGTATAGGTCTTCGTTGCACCGGAACGAGCCTGTTGGAAAGGGCGTGAACTGGCTCTCACAGCTGACCGCTCCTTCGTTCTCATCTCGCAAATGAACTGAGTGCCTAACTATCCAGTGCTAAACTCGCTTAACTATAGAAGGAAAAATCAACGATGCTACCTACATTTTAACTTTGAATAATGATTCATTCATTTGATAAATAGAAGCAGTATTATGAAAACGAAGGCAAGGAAAAGGAAAGAAGAAAAATAAGAAAAAAGACAAGAAAATCAAGCAGAAATAAATAAAAGGAAAGAGGTGTAAGAAGAATAAGATCGATTCAAATAATGAAAAGAAAATTGAAGAAGGAAAAGAAAGAGAAGAAGGAAAAGAATCAGAAGAAGGAACAAGAACAAAACAAAGATAAAGAACAAACAGTTAAAAAAACAAAAACCTGAAAAACAGAATAAAGAGAGAGAGCAGAAAAAAAAAGAAAAAGATGCCAGAAAGCAAGAAACCAGAAAAGGAGAATTTTTAAGGAAGTGTACAAGATCCTAGATATAAAACTGACGATTTATAAAACTCGTACTATTTCTCTACAAAATGCCATTCAGTTTCAAAAGTGCAATTGTATTTAGTATTGATTTTAGACAAAATCTTGTGCTAGCGATTGTTGAAAATCAAGGCAATAAAAAAGTTGTACGTATCAAGAAACGATAATTCAATCGTTTATCAGGATCCAGTCATTTCCAGCGACTACGCAGGATCGAAACTTCGATAACAGTATTTTCAATATATTTTCTTATCCTTTAAGCGAGGATTCACTACGCGAAACACTTCAACTATTATTTGTATCTTTCACTTGTAGTTTGCGCTACTCTTTGAGTTTTTTTTTTCACTCACCAATTTTGCAGATGCCATGGTGAAGCTCGTTGAAGATCACAACTAAGACTGAAACAAGAAATGCATCTCAGTTCAGCACGTTGGCTTCAAGAATATTATGTAATGATTTTTTATTGCGATTTCTTAACATTTCACTTATTGAATTCGATTAAAAAATTGCTAATATTAAGTCAAACCGGTCAATTAACAAAATTAAACCATCACATCCATTAATTTCGAGATACAAATTCTAACTTTTATTATTCCAGACAAAATAATATTTTTTTTTTCATTTTTATATAAACATGCAAATTGGAAAGTTAACCGTTAACTGCTTGAACCGTTGAATCAATACTATTCACATATGATAGGTTTATTATTATAATATATTTATTCGGAATATTGTGTATTTTTCAAATTGGTTTAATACAATTATTATTAGAAATAATTATTAATAATATCGCAACTAGTGTCAAAGAGGCCTTATATATATTTTAGCAGCTTTATCTGAAAATATTACAAACCAGAAGTTTTACTGCTCCAATGTGAACCAAATATTAATTGGAATAGAAATCCACTCCCTGGTTGGTTGTAGTTTTCTTATGCGTTTTAGTAGTGTTCTACCAAATTTCTGTTCATAGAATAGCTTCACCCCACATAGGTATATGTCGTTTTATATATAAGATTTACATTTCTGTTGTTTTCGTTCCCGAAATTTGAAATGTCCTGAAATGTCTATTTAACCATAGTTTTTATAAGTATTCTCGTTACGACTTATGTTATTGTATATTAGACAATGCAATGTCAAAGGTATCCGAAACTATTAAATAAGACACATTCAAATTTAAATAAATTTTGAAGTAAGTGCAACATGATCCCCGACAACTTATATATATATATATATATAGTTTTTTTGTATCTAAACTCCTAAGTTCCGTTGAAAATTTGAAATCTTAAAACATTTGTTAAATGTAAGTCAATGTAATGCAAAGACCAATTAAATTTTTAATACTTGTAAAATTAAACACAAAATTAATTAATTTATCAGTTTAATAAAAAAAAAATAAAAATCTTTACAAAAAATTAAAAAAAAAATTATTTACATATCTCAAGAACATAATTACAATTCACTGAAGAAGGTTAAAATTTAACCGGCAGCAGATTTCAAAGAACCAGGACTGAGTTTACGATTCTTAATCTGATAGCGTGCCTTGTAACCGTCTTTATCGGCAGTGAACATGGTCATTGTTTCGGTATCAGTCTTTTCATCATACACGGAGTAGGTACCCATAACAACGAGTTCTTCTTCATCTGTACCAGGATTTATGATCACACCAATTTCTTCACGTTTGCTGCCAGTTGGTTCTTCCAAGCTAAATTAATTTATAAAAAAAACAATATTTTTTATATCAGATCAGGAATGTAAAATCAAAAAATATAATATATATATACTTAAAGCGATATCCTTCTTTGGTAGGTTGTTGTCATAATATTCTGACATAATTTTTGGGAATATGTAATCAAGGAAACCAGCTGAGGTAGATGTGGAAAGTGCAGCCACGACGGCTAACAGAAGAAACTGAAAAGAAGGAAGGTTATTAATTGATATAGATAATAATGATAATAGTATAAGTTGGATATTTATAATTATAAATTTTCAACACCGTAAATCAAAAAAAATTATTTTTAATATGTTCATTTATGATATCTAGTTTATCATCTGGACTAGACCACTAAAAACCAAAGATTAGAGGAAAAAAAATTTTTTTTATAACTGCTAAAGTCATACAATACTCAGTTAAGTGCTGTTGGTAATTAGAATGCAAAAACCTAAGGGGAGAAAATAAAGAAATATAGGAAAAATCATATGGATATGGATTACTGTTTGAATTCAGAGTTCCAAACTCTTAAGTCAAGTAACTGCTACATAACCAACTAAACCTTAGAGCTATGTTATGTAGATACTAAAAGTCACTTTAACTACTAAATTGTTATTGCTATCAATGTAAGTTAGAGATTTGACATTATCCACACAAATCATCAAAATAGTAGTAATAGTTTGAAATTGCAATTGACAATTGACAATTGAGATTTGATATTTAACTTTCTATTATGCCTTCTTCATCGTAACTAAAAATAACATTAAACTGACGTAACTATTTACCATACAACTGTGTAACATAGACCTAAAGTGCTGGCCAGTAGTCATTAAAATTCCATTGAAAATTCATCTCAGCATAGATAAAATTGCAAATGTCACTTAAGTGCATAACCGATACTTAAGTTACTATTGCAATATTGGCTTATAGGATACTAAAATTAATGGTGAAGCGTTTCCTTGATTGCAACCTTTCCGATAATGTTTTATACTCATCATATATTAAACAAATTAATGCGCATTCATAAATGTCAGATTTTTATTATATATTTTATTTTAAAAATAAATTAAAAGTGCTGAAATAAAGCATAATTGGGGGCGATATTACAACATTTTATTATTTCTAATCGAAATGTTATACAATTTTATTATTGTTGTATATTTTTCAATTTATTTTTTATTTGTTTTAAATTTTTATATTAAATTTTAACTATTAATCTAAATTATTATAATTAATTAATTTGATATTTGTTTTATAGCAATAAATTTTAAAACTGTACCATCTAAAAAACTTAAATGTTTTCGAAAGTCGTATGATCATTTTTATATACATTTTCTGATAAATACTATGCCAAAACTACATAAGGCTGTTGTAAGACTTTTTCGGCAACCAACAGGCTACAGCAACATTTGCTGATGATACTACAGTTCTAGTAATCGACAACAATATACTAGACGCAACGGCTAAACTACAACAGACCGTAAACCAAATCACTTCATGGGCAAAAAAAAAATGGAGTATCATGCTAAACAAGGAAAAATCTGTACATATAGTCCTGTCATTGAGAAATTGTAACTATATACCTATTAATATTGATGCCACAAAATGGTAAACTTAATAGACAACGACTAGCAAGAGAGCTTAGCTGTCACCACTGGAAAAATTTTCCAATCAAAATTACTTATTAGCACCTCTTCTTTATTGTACTAGGTGCTATATTGAAGCGGTTCTGTTTATACTTTAAGAGTCCTTATTGCATAAAAAAAAATATTTTACTATGTTCTTAAGTTTTTCATTCCTATCTAGCCGTTAATTTTGCCGTGACATTTTTTAGTTACATGATTCTTTAGATTTAATAAAAATAAAATCTTAATATTGCCGTATTACAGCTAAGCAGTAATGAAACACTTTTCGTCATCTTCCTCCACCTGTGGCAAGAGTTCTTTAAGATAATATTCAATTTTGAACCTTAGTTTCCGAACTGTAATTGGCCTATTAGTCATTATACCACGAACCTTATATGTATGAGGGATAGTTCCACAAGCTGACTAGATATTTCTGTATTAAAAAGACGCCGAATCCATAAAGATGTCTGCGTTGATTTTTCTCATGTTTTGTTACTTTGCTTCACACATTGAAATCTCAATAGAGGTTGAATGATACTGAATAGAGGTTCAGAGGTACACAGTAGCCACATATATCCTAAAAGTAAATTAAACTGAATTCAATTACTGTTTATTACCATTATACCATTCTTCATTTTCATTTTCGTTAGCCAGTTGGGTCCAACTAATATAGATAACCTTTTATATCAATTTATTCATTAGGTTTACATTTGAGATAAATTTTGTCTCTAATGTAGCATAAGATAAATGGTGCTGAATTTAGTTTCATTTTCTCTTGATGACTTTAACTGCTAGTTGGGTCCAGCTAATATGGGTAATCCTTATACATTAGTTTTATATTTGAGATAATTTTTTGTCTCTAATGTAGCATTAGATAAATAGTGCTGAATTTAGTTTAATTTTCTCTTGATTACTTTAACTGCTAGCTAGGTCCAGCTAATATGGGTAATCCTTATATATTAGGTTTACATTTGACATAATTTTTGTCTCTAATGTATCATTAGATAAATGGTGTTGAATCTATTTTCATTTTCTCTTGATAACAATATCTGATTTATATATAATTATATATTATATATATTTCTTATCTATACTGTATTTCTATATCTTCTTTATACTAACTATATATATCTAGAACTTTATTTCATATATAGAAAAATGCTTTAGTGTAGCGATAACATACATCACTCGATTAAGTATACCCAAGTAATAGTTCAAACTCTATGTTATAATCGTTCACAAAGTTTTATATTAAACCTCTTTTAGAATTCTTAAAAACAAATTCTAGGTGAACCTATGGTTAGAGAAATGCCTTAGTATGCGATTAAAATTTTATTATTACTCATTTCAAAGAATTGGTTATATAGGCAGTTGCAGGTGTGAGTGAAACAGAAAGCATAGATTGTTTTAAGCTTTTATGAACGCAATAAATCAAAGTGGCACAGGTTATCATTAGTGTATCTTATATTGTCAGAAGGTAATGCAGTTAAAGTTTCTTCCAAAGCTTTTCTCTCTATACAATGGACATTGTTGCAAAATACCTCTCCATTAAATTGTGTAATTGATTAATTAGTATTTAATTGTAGATAATTAAATTCGTACTAATAAACATCAAGTGTTTGAGCTTCAAGTTGATTAATTTGAATGGTTAAAATTTTATCTCTAATCGAAGTAGCCCTGCAGTAGCCTCACCTTAAGTTTACCTCAATCCAAACGCTAATGCACTAACTGGTTTGCTCTCTTCGATAAATCACGAAAGCTACTGAAAATCGGTAAATGCAAATTGGCAATATTTTATGAATGAATGCATTGGAAACGACAGTCCAGCGCAGATGCTTCAAAGTGATGTGTGAGCATAAAGACGTCTCGACTGACTGAAAATGTCAGCCTGAAGTTGAAAAAAATTAAACAAATAATAGACGTAAATATTTGCCAATAGAGCTTGACATTTTTATAACGTATAGCATTCTTGCGGTTTTACGTATTTAAGAAAGCAAAACTTGTAATTGTAGCCGTGAAGAGATGAAATCTTGAAACAAAAACTCA